TGGACAGTGCTGTGAAAGGGTGAAGCTACATGAAGGACCCAATGACAAAACTAGGGTCATTTATTGTGGCTGAAGCCGCCCTAAAATATTCTCAACCCCGAAATATGCTCATAAAAAATGACTGAACCAGCCTAGGTTTAAGTATACACTCGAAAAAATGGAAATCTAGAAAAGCGATGTTTTTCTTCAAATAAGTGCATTTGTGCTTGGATTGATGAGGTAAAAGACACATTTTGCCAATAGAACAAGGCAATTTACACTTAAAATAAGAAAACACAATTGCATTGTCTTATTTCAAGAGCATATTATTTAATTATCTTATTTTAAGAGTAAAAATACAAATTCGATTGGCAAACTATCTCATTTACCTACTCAAATTAGGGATAAATACACTTAATTTAAGAAATTTCTAGTTATTTCTGGAGCGTTTTTCCAGTGTAGCGGAGACAAATTTTGGTGTTGCAGCCCGCTACGCTGAAATACACTTAGAAGTTGGGACTAGATGTGTTGTTAATGTTATCCGTGTCTGACTGTATTAGAGACAATTTCTTTATAAACTATCCAAAGAGAAGCTAAAATATCACTTGTGAAGGCTGTTTAAAGAAATAACTTAATACTTTTTTAGTTTTCTTTTTTTGAATCTTTTCTAAAATAATTTAAATTGTTATGCAGCAAAATCACTTTTGACCACAGTATGACCAGAATGGATTTCACAGAGATTTATGGATCTTTTTTTAATGTTTTATTTAAAATTTTTTTGTTTATGTTCCACTTTTCAGGGGAGAAAAAACGTGCATCAATAAGGTAATATTCAGCTCAATTTAAGTTTGGTCAAATTAACTATTTTTTTCCTTATTTAATAAAATCATTCTTATTTAAAAACATATAGAAACAAATTTTCATATAACAACAGATCAATGCAAAAGTAACATGAAAAAGTGATAAGAAGTTACAATGTATAAAAAGACACTTTCATTGTTTTTAGATGACATGATTCATAATGAGAGGAGAAGCACCTCTTTCTATTCCAGTAAAGGTCAAAACATTCATTGCAAATGTTCCCTTTTCTCTTGTGAACTTTCCTCTAACACCATTTTCAATAAGTACCACTCAGTGAGAGGTCAGAGACTGAAAAAGGTCAGCAAATAAGAACACCTCAGGGGAAAGCAGTTGATTTCTGTCAACTGCTTAAGACTATTTCTGTCAACCTGGAAAATTCAAATCTGTGGCAAAAGATTTTAAGAGCAGAGGATGTGTAACATTAAACAGGTGTCGCATACATGTTTGTCACAAATACATTGACAAGCTATTAAAATGTGTTTCAATAAAAACCAAGGTCAAAATATAACTCAAGTTTATGAGGTTTCTGTAGCCCTTTAAAACATATAATTGCCAAACAATGGGAATGTCAGCAGAGTGGTGATGAGAAACTCTGCACATTCGAGAACACTTTGACCTTGAAGTGTTAGTGAATGGAACATTTTGCTGTTAAAACCTTGACCAACAAACACATTTCTAATAGAATCAGAAGTTTCAGGTCCGTTCTTTGGTTTTTGATTAAGCCCAAGCAGAAGGGATAGCAGAAAAATGTTACCTTCAGCCCCGAGGTCAGGTCGGCGGGGTCAAAGGTGGTCAGTGTTGAAGTCCAGGACGTGAGCCATAGGACACGACAAAGGGTGCAACACACATTGGCGGAGGTCACAGAAAAGCACAAAGATATTGTAGCAGGGAGAGGGATGAGAAGCATGGTCAAAGAAAGGAAAACAATGGAGGAGAGGTAACGGGTGATGAAGAAGAGGACATGGACGAGAAGAAGATGAAAAGGATTAAACAGAAAAAAAGGGATTTGGAAGAAAAATGGAAGGATATACAACACAGAGGGGAGGTAGATGGCAGAGGAGGAGTTTGTGAGGGAGAACTGGAGCTTTAAACAGCTGGGAGCGTAGAGGCTGAGTCAATTCCTCTAAAAAAGGAAAAATAAAGAAACAAACAAAAAAAAGAATGAACCCATACCTTGGTCGTTTAACGTCAGGTGCGCCAGACCTTGAAAGGGAAAAAACAGAAAAAAGGAACACAAAGGAAGAAAAGAAGGTCATAAAAGGCACGGGAAGAAAAAAAGCATTGTCACAACGTTGGACTGCAGTTTGTGACAGACATCCTGGGGCAGACTTGGATGTCAGAGTTTAAACCAAAGTTAAAAAAAAAAAAGAGAAAAAAAATAACTAGAAAGAGAGAAAGATAGAGATATAGAGCGAATAACAACAGAAAACAAGCAAACACTTCTTGAGTGAGGTGTGAGGGGTTTAGAAAAAAAAGCATTTTCATTTGGCGCAACCCCCGAAGGCTATTGCTCACACAAATGCTTTTTTTTCCACTGGAGTACTTATGGAACACACAGAGAACTGTTTGGCAAAATAAAGGCTTAAATCTAATTCATTATCTTCAGCAATTCTCAAATTAAGAAACAAGAATCAAAACTCTTGCAAAAAAGACAGCGCCTTTTAAGAGCATTGACACCAATATTGTCATAATACAACAACACACCTCGACAAGATTAGTTCTGATGTACATAATCAATCAACACAAAGTCATACATAATTATAGAGCTTAAGGTTTCTTATTATTTGTTGGAAAAAATGCTTTTTCCACAAAGATTGTTATGATAACACTAGATGGGGGGGAAAGTAACGCTGCACATTACCCTGAACAGATCATCTTTTCGCAATGGTGGCATCATCATCCTATGGGGATGAAAACATGGCAGATACAAACACAGAATAATCCTACCAAACAATCTGTTAGAGCTTGCAAAAAAAATAAATAAATAAGATTTAAAAAAAAATAATATATAAAACTTGAGACTTAGGTATAGCTTAATCTTCCAGCGGGATACTGAAAGTAAATCAAATCAATCATGTGCCAGAATGGTCCAGTCAATTTGTAGACATAAATCTGATTAGGAAACTGTGGGGGGGAAAAAAAAAAGAAAAATACTCATTTTAGGGCAATTTTCATTCAATATCAGAAAAGTGGGTCAAGAAATATTATTATATTACGATACATATATATCTTTTTTTATTTGCTAATTGGTTTGAGACAGTAAAACATCTGCAGATGGGATTTCGGTAAAATATACTTCCAACATAACAACTAAAGCTAAATACTAAATCACAAAATATACCGGTATATTTAAAAAAAAATGTGTGTTTAAAAAAATTATTGTTAAGTTGAATAATTTTAATTTAAAAACATTGGAGCTGGCTCTGAAAGTATGACAGTAAGTAATTAATATTTTTCTATGACACCCTACAACTTGACATTAAACTCGTTGGATAAAATAGCAACATCACAACCGCAGCCCAAAAACCTTCACTTACTAGCTAATGGCTATGTTCCAAATAACTTATTTATTCATTTATTACAGTGCAAGATCTCCAATGAACCTTCTGTTGTCACAACCAGACAGACATAAGTGTAAGAAAAGCAAAAATACGTTCAAAGCTTCCTAAAGTGAAACAATAATCTTAATATAGCATTTAGAACTAATAAGAAAAACTTAAATGACCTTGCAACAATAAAGTATTTCACTGACTCTTTCTGTCCAAGTGTGTATCTGGAAACACCAAATAAAAAATATATATATATATATATATATATATATATATATATATA